ACAGCAACAGTGACGGCGGGCTCCCCGGCAGGAACTGTGTAGAAACTATGCGACTATGTAGAAACACAATGTAGCTCTACTACTAGTAGATCTAAGATTGACGTACTCTCCCATCGTTCATTATACAACTGTCCCCCTTCATCAGAAAAATTCGGCTCAGGCAAAGCTGACTTCCCTAGCAATCCCCCCACTACCATCACAGTAAGCCATTTATGGTAGATGCAACCTTTTCTGAGATAGGGTGTAATATTCCAGTTCTTGTACCTGTTCAGCATGTTTTGCTATAGCTCTGACAGTCTAAAACCATGCAAGACAGCAGCAATGGAAATTGCACATTAAAACAACAACTCTACACAAATCACGAACAAAAAAACCCCAAACATTTTCCTGACAGGCTGGTCCCTTTTACAATTCATCTTAACGTAAGTACGAGAAAGGATTAGGTATTGTGAAGGGGAGTCAAAGAACACCTGAAATGGAATACTTTCCATGACTTGGTGGTCTGAAGAAATACTTAGTACAAGCAAAACTGAGTGACAGCATAGAGCAAGAGGCTACAAGGTCATCAAGAAAGATCAACCCAAAATACTGCTGCAGCAGTCAAGCTTCTGGATTGTCCCATCTGCACCTGGCCTCTGAGGAGCAGGCCTTTTAAGTATATATGACATCAATCACGGTTTTGATGGAAAAAAGTCTATGAGAGATAGTAAGATAGTAACCAGGAGTCAGGGAAAGCAGGAAGCAGCCATGGGTTAAATGCTCTGGAACATTCCGTTCGTTCAGCTACATAAATGGGACTGGACAACCAATCCATCTGGAAAAGACCCTCTCTGTCACTCAGAGATCATTGTCCAACACAGCTCTCCATCCAGCTGATGCTTAAGGAAGTTTGATCTGTTACTAGCCACCTCTGAAATTAGTAATTTATTCTCTTTCTAAAGCTGCCTGGACAGAATGTAATTTTAAATACTGGTCCTTGTGGTAAGAGTTAGCAAAGGGTGTAGAATTACCAAGAACTTAAAAAGGAACAGTTCTTCCTTTGCAAGCTCTTAGGCTCTTCAAGCCACCCCTGCTTATTTTTTTCCCCCAGCTGCGAGGGACAGCAGTTGTGCTGGCACTCATGCCAGCTGGGTGTGCACCAAGCAGCCCTGCTGCCATAAAGGTAAAGCTTTAGTGTTGACATACACACAAGCATCCAGCGTCTGCCTTCATCGGCGCCGGGAAAGGCAGATACCCACTCCTGCTGCTTCAGTCACATAACTCAAGCAGACCCTCGCTGACTGTGACAGCCCAAGGAAATACAGGCATCTTTAACATTAAAGTCTCTGCTATGCCACTCACACATTGGCATTCCCAATAATATCACCAAATTATATAAAGCTCTATATAAATGATATAAAAGCTCTCGTGAAGCTTTATAGGTGATACTGCTGGGTAGAATAGGCTGGACCACTGGAGATTACAATGGGGAAAAGCTTTTAAGTGGTTCAGAGATGGTTCTCAGACTCCTAATTGAGCTAAAGGCTTATGGTGTCCAAGGACTACACCAATAAGTGAGTCTGAGCTCTAAGACAGAGAGAGAACGGAGGTTTCCTAGCATCATGCAGCAAGTACAAGCAGCGGAGGCACAGCACAGAGTATAAAGTACAAGCACTGGTGGCAACTGCAAATAGAAAGGGAGACAAGGATGATGCAGACAGGCTCCAAGCAACGTTCGCCTTCTCATAGAAGGCTTTAAAATTTAAAAAAACATTTGCTGATGGTCCCTACTCACAGATAAAGGGTGAGTCTCACACATGGGGGAGAAAATTGGCCAAAGTGTAAAGCCTGAATGAGGGGCAGCAGGTAGCGGAATTATGCCTAAAGCGACATTGTAATATGTAACCTGGAAAAACATCAAGTTTGACTTACTGCAACTTGGAATAAGTCTTCCCGACTCACAGTTTGCCAAAGACATATTCATCTGTCCATTCCGTGATGGACATGAAGGCTGGAGAACCCCAATTCGAGTCACACCTCACAGAAGTGCAACAGAAGATATCCAGGAGAAATAATTTAAATCATTAAACTGCATGAGAAATTCAGCAAAAAATGAAACGATCCTTAAAGAATAGCAAAAAATCCCCATTTATGTGAATTTTTTCACCTTAATATTGGAGGACTGGGGAGGTGGCTAATGAATAATTTAATTCTCCAATATTCCTCACTCTAAATGAGCAAACAAACCAACCATCTCATGGACCAAGGGTTAGCACATGCCCTTTCCACGCAAAAATGCTGTCCCTGCTATATTTAAACATATGCACGTGGTTTTCTTTTGAGCAGTCCCAGTGAAGTCATTAAAATTACTTCATATTGTCTCAAATTATGGCTAGTTATTAACAAAGTCAATTTAAAACAAACAAGCAAGCAAAACCATTTTGCATGTGCAACAGCATTTTGGTCAGCTGAACTAAAGCCAGACATGGAATAAGCAGTTGTAAGTATTCCAACTTATACCAAATCTGAACTTGATTGATTCTACAGTTCGGTGTCATTTAAATTAACACACTAAGGTTGCTTAATTAAACTGTTAGAAACAAAATCAGGGATTCACAAACTATGGCATTTTATTTCAGAGGCCTTTGCTTACATTTGTACAATATATTACATAATTCTCCATTTTCTGCAGAACCTAATATATATTTTATAGCTTTTTTCTATAAGCTTTTCCTTCAATATTTGTCAACAAATTTTTACAGTCCTGTACAATTCTGAATACTTTGAAACCATTTTCAATAAAATCAGTTAACCTTAAGCACACACTACGAAGACTGAAAATGCTTTTCTTAGAAAAGTCAAATGTAAAGGATTCTGACACTCTAGCATCTACAAACAAAATGCTTTGAATTCTTACATGTCGTATTGCCAGAAAACAAAAAACATGCCAGCCCCTATTTCCCCAGCCAAAAGAAGTACACAGAACTACAATTAAAACAGTAAAACAATCTGTACAATAAAGTACTGTGTATTAACAGTGCCAGGTATTAAATAGCTTGAATGAACACTTCCGCAATATACAAATGTCTTACAAAGGTATATAATTAACAGGAGAGAGCGCTCAGGATTCATACAACATAAAATCAATACAAGTGAAAACAGTTCGGAGTTGGTTTTGGAATTTGTACAAGGCATTTAAAAAAATTAAATGTCTACCACTCAGCTAGCTATTTCTTTAAAAACAACTATCCTTTGTGGCAGTGTTCACATCAGCAACCACAACTTATAACCACACACCTTACTCCTCCTTGAAGTCCTCTCAGTTGAAGCTCGTAATAAAATAAGCATTACAAATGAAATATTTGTTGCTTTAAGGGAAAAGAAACATTTACAAGAAAACACAAAAATATAACTGTTATAATCCATTATGAATAAATATACACTTTAAACTGGCTAAATACAATCTTTATACATTGTTTAAGATTTAATACAGTTTGTTAGCCATTTTCTTCCTTTTTCATAATGTATTTTATCAAAATTAAAAAAAAATACTGATTTATAGAAAAATGGCAAAGTACAGTAGTTTCATTCCAATTAATGGGTTATTTAAAACCCAGAATAACCTATTTAAGCCTAATTCAAACCTGTAAACATTAGTCAGTCTTTTTTTTTTTTTTTTTTAAAGGAATCCTCATATTTGGTTATCAGGACTGATGTCAAACATCCTACTAATTGCAGGTTTTGAATTGAATACATGTGCTTGACTTATACAATTAAAGCCACTATCAGGTGGCTTAGCAGTTAAAAAACAATTAGCTTGTACAAATGAAAATAGGTTCAATATTTGTCATAAATAAATGGAAAAATATCAAATGTTCCAGCTTTAACAAAATACCAGGGAATACATGTACAGTAAGCCCTACCACATTTAATTAGGCCAACCCAGCAACTGTAGGCTTACTGTACTGTCTCTACAGGCAGTGAACAGCCTCCATTTGCCACAGTGGAAGGCCTCCAAGTCACTAGACTTACAATTCCCAGACAAGTTGGAAACAATTATTGCTTGAGGAAAAGCAGTTTGTTGTACTTTTTCTTCATAAAAGTGCACTTAAGTGCAAAGTTAGCTTGTCAAGAAACAACTTTAAATACAAAATAGTGCTTGTCTGAATTTTGTGCCACTGTGCAGTATAAAAAAAAAGAAAAAAAAAAGAAGAAAAAAAAAAAAGTGGCCCTCAGCAGCCATTAAGTGCAAAGTGCTTTGCCAAGTCCTGCTGTCACCTGCACTCAACTGACATTCCGTTCTGTGATGAACTTGACATGGATGGCTCTGCTAAAGTTAACATAACCGCAGCTGTAATGGAACTAGAAGAAGGTGATGAAGAGGAAGATGATGTAGTAGCAGCACCTACACGGGAAGAAGAAAAGATACAAATTAAAAATCAACAAAAGAGCTAGAAAAACACTATTTGATCTAAGAACAAGGATTAGTATATAGTGATCCAGTAAGAACACCTGATAATTAAAAAGAAAAAAGCCTCCTCTCATGAGCTTTCTTGGGAAATACTTTGAAAGGTACCTTGGGCTATATCTAAGACAACATAACATGTCACCTTGCAGCCCCAGTTTGCTGATCAAGCACGTTGCCAGAGTAGCCAATGCTCAATCCTGAGCACAAAAAAGCCATAGGTAGATCATGCCCTGGTACTGATTCTACACTTACAACCTGCTCTGGAAACTGTGCAAGAACCGCAGTTCCTACTGGGGCCACAAAAAACTTACTATGTATGGCCCATTTCAGCCTTTCTCCTTAGAATCTGTGTACTCTTAAAAGTGCACATCCAGCAAGACATGGAGAGAATAAACCTTTTAATACTGTTAGAAGGAGGCACACCAGGATATTGGCTATAGCACTAAGTAAAGCAACTTCAAGGAAATGGCTCGATGATCTCATTTAGATTCAAGAAACAAGGCACCTAGGTTAATGAGAGAGCATTAGCTACATACACAAGCAGTATTACTGCAAATTATAATACAACCTGGAAGAAAAAAAAATAAGCTATTCATAACCTTGGATGCATCATTCATTGCTTAGAAAACTTTACTAATTTTTTTTTCTATTTAAAGTAGCTCCACCT